GCAGTTGTAGCATGTCAAGGCGAGTCAGCTGTTAAAAGACTTGTGAAGTTGCTATCGCCCTGCATTCAGAAATTGTGCTGCTTTGAAAATACATTTTACTTATCAACCATTGACGCAACAAGCAGTGGGAATCTCTTGACAATGGCTGTCTTTGGAGATGTGCCAATGCTGTCTTTGATTGAACAGAGATGCACCTTGAAGTGAAGATCAAGCTGTTGGCTCTGCAGAAGAGATGTTGGATTTCCAGTACCATGGAGCGTGCAGAACATTTTGTGACATATTGCTGGAGCATAGATGATGTCTACTTTTATATTCATTCTGTTGAAGAATGGGACGGCGAGTCAGCTGTTAAAAGTTCCTTGTAAACTGGCTGTCGCCCTTGAATTCTGACATTCTATTTTCTTGACTCTCGCTCAATGAATCTAGACTTTCTAACGCTGGGGATGTGGATGGATCATGTCATGCACGTGAATTCCTCTCCCCTATTAAGGTTCTTTCCTCGTTTTAGAAGCTGCTTTGAAAATGCATCTCATTTATCACAACCATTCGCACAAGAAGCAGTGGGAATCGATTGAGAATGGCTGTCGCTTGACAGGTGATGAATGCTGTATTTGACTGAACAGAGATACAGCTAGATGTAAAGATCGAGCTGTTAGCTCTGCCGAAAAGACGTTGGGTTTCCGGTGTCATCGGGTAACAGAAAGATCATCGCCCGAACAGGGACTTGAACCCTGGACCCTCAGATTAAAAGTCTGATGCTCTACCGACTGAGCTATCCGGGCTCTCTAAGCGAGAATCGAGATAACACCGAGAAGGCGAATGAGCTCCCCCTAATCTTCAAGTCTATACCTGCAAAGTAGAGATGTGTTGTATTTTTGTCGGATAATCCAAAAATCATGACATTGTGTTGTGGGAATGACCTCGTGGCGCAACGGTAGCGCGTCTGACTCCAGATCAGAAGGTTGCGTGTTCAAATCACGTCGGGGTCACTGCTTATTGTCACGTTGAATGCCCGCTTTTACATATCATTCATAAAACACGTCGTTTTCAATGTCAAGGAAAACAACAAGGTCTCATCAGTTATACCAACGACTGGCTGCCACAAGACTCCATAAGTATGTCATAGGAGCAAACGGAACATTTTATTACATAATGTTGGGCCGTACATTATGTCTTTTTTCGTTTCATGCAGTTGTAGCATGTCAAGGCGAGTCAGCTGTTAAAAGACTTGTGAAGTTGTTATCGCCCCTGCATTCAGAAATTGTGCTGCTTTGAAAATACATTTTACTTATCAACCATTGACGCAACAAGCAGTGGGAATCTCTTGACAATGGCTGTCTTTGGAGATGTGCCAATGCTGTCTTTGATTGAACAGAGATGCACCTTGAAGTGAAGATCAAGCTGTTGGCTCTGCAGAAGAGATGTTGGATTTCCAGTACCATGGAGCGTGCAGAACATTTTGTGACATATTGCTGGAGCATAGATGATGTCTACTTTTATATTCATTCTGTTGAAGAATGGGACGGCGAGTCAGCTGTTAAAAGTTCCTTGTAAACTGGCTGTCGCCCTTGAATTCTGACATTCTATTTTCTTGACTCTCGCTCAATGAATCTAGACTTTCTAACGCTGGGGATGTGGATGGATCATGTCATGCACGTGAATTCCTCTCCCCTATTAAGGTTCTTTCCTCGTTTTAGAAGCTGCTTTGAAAATGCATCTCATTTATCACAACCATTCGCACAAGAAGCAGTGGGAATCGATTGAGAATGGCTGTCGCTTGACAGGTGATGAATGCTGTATTTGACTGAACAGAGATACAGCTAGATGTAAAGATCGAGCTGTTAGCTCTGCCGAAAAGACGTTGGGTTTCCGGTGTCATCGGGTAACAGAAAGATCATCGCCCGAACAGGGACTTGAACCCTGGACCCTCAGATTAAAAGTCTGATGCTCTACCGACTGAGCTATCCGGGCTCTCTAAGCGAGAATCGAGATAACACCGAGAAGGCGAATGAGCTCCCCCAATCTTCAAGTCTATACCTTGAAAGTAGAGATGTGTTGTATTTTTGTCGGATAATCCAAAAATCATGACTTTGTGTTGTGGGAATGACCTCGTGGCGCAACGGTAGCGCGTCTGACTCCAGATCAGAAGGTTGCGTGTTCAAATCACGTCGGGGTCACTGCTTATTGTCACGTTTAATGCCCGCTTTTACATATCATTCATAAAACACGTCGTTTTCAATGTCAAGGAAAACAACAAGGTCTCATCAGTTATACCAACGACTGGCTGCCACAAGACTCCATAAGTATGTCATAGGAGCAAACGGAACATTTTATTACATAATGTTGGGCCGTATATTATGTCTTTTTTCGTTTCATGCAGTTGTAGCATGTCAAGGCGAGTCAGCTGTTAAAAGACTTGTGAAGTTGCTATCGGCCCTGCATTCAGAAATTGTGCTGCTTTGAAAATACATTTTACTTATCAACCATTGACGCAACAAGCAGTGGGAATCTCTTGACAATGGCTGTCTTTGGAGATGTGCCAATGCTGTCTTTGATTGAACAGAGATGCACCTTGAAGTGAAGATCAAGCTGTTGGCTCTGCAGAAGAGATGTTGGATTTCCAGTACCATGGAGCGTGCAGAACATTTTGTGACATATTGCTGGAGCATAGATGATGTCTACTTTTATATTCATTCTGTTGAAGAATGGGACGGTGAGTCAGCTGTTAAAAGTTCCTTGTAAACTGGCTGTCGCCCTTGAATTCTGACATTCTATTTTCTTGACTCTCGCTCAATGAATCTAGACTTTCTAACGCTGGGGATGTGGATGGATCATGTCATGCACGTGAATTCCTCTCCCCTATTAAGGTTCTTTCCTCGTTTTAGAAGCTGCTTTGAAAATGCATCTCATTTATCACAACCATTCGCACAAGAAGCAGTGGGAATCGATTGAGAATGGCTGTCGCTTGACAGGTGATGAATGCTGTATTTGACTGAACAGAGATACAGCTAGATGTAAAGATCGAGCTGTTAGCTCTGCCGAAAAGACGTTGGGTTTCCGGTGTCATCGGGTAACAGAAAGATCATCGCCCGAACAGGGACTTGAACCCTGGACCCTCAGATTAAAAGTCTGATGCTCTACCAACTGAGCTATCCGGGCTCTATAAGGGAGAATCGAGATAACACCGAGAAGGCGAATGAGCTCCCCTAATCTTCAAGTCTATACCTTGAAAGTAGAGATGTGTTGTATTTTTGTCGGATAATCCAAAAATCATGACTTTGTGTTGTGGGAATGACCTCGTGGCGCAACGGTAGCGCGTCTGACTCCAGATCAGAAGGTTGCGTGTTCAAATCACGTCGGGGTCACTGCTTATTGTCACGTTTAATGCCCGCTTTTACATATCATTCATAAAACACGTCGTTTTCAATGTCAAGGAAAACAACAAGGTCTCATCAGTTATACCAACGACTGGCTGCCACAAGACTCCATAAGTATGTCATAGGAGCAAACGGAACATTTTATTACATAATGTTGGGCCGTACATTATGTCTTTTTTCGTTTCATGCAGTTGTAGCATGTCAAGGCGAGTCAGCTGTTAAAAGACTTGTGAAGTTGCTATCGCCCCTGCATTCAGAAATTGTGCTGCTTTGAAAATACATTTTACTTATCAACCATTGACGCAACAAGCAGTGGGAATCTCTTGACAATGGCTGTCTTTGGAGATGTGCCAATGCTGTCTTTGATTGAACAGAGATGCACCTTGAAGTGAAGATCAAGCTGTTGGCTCTGCAGAAGAGATGTTGGATTTCCAGTACCATGGAGCGTGCAGAACATTTTGTGACATATTGCTGGAGCATAGATGATGTCTACTTTTATATTCATTCTGTTGAAGAATGGGACGGTGAGTCAGCTGTTAAAAGTTCCTTGTAAACTGGCTGTCGCCCTTGAATTCTGACATTCTATTTTCTTGACTCTCGCTCAATGAATCTAGACTTTCTAACGCTGGGGATGTGGATGGATCATGTCATGCACGTGAATTCCTCTCCCCTATTAAGGTTCTTTCCTCGTTTTAGAAGCTGCTTTGAAAATGCATCTCATTTATCACAACCATTCGCACAAGAAGCAGTGGGAATCGATTGAGAATGGCTGTCGCTTGACAGGTGATGAATGCTGTATTTGACTGAACAGAGATACAGCTAGATGTAAAGATCGAGCTGTTAGCTCTGCCGAAAAGACGTTGGGTTTCCGGTGTCATCGGGTAACAGAAAGATCATCGCCCGAACAGGGACTTGAACCCTGGACCCTCAGATTAAAAGTCTGATGCTCTACCGACTGAGCTATCCGGGCTCTACAAGCACGAACCGAGATAACACCGAGAAGGCGAATGAGCTCCCCCAATCTTCAAGTCTATACCTTGAAAGTAGAGATGTGTTGTATTTTTGTCGGATAATCCAAAAATCATGACTTTGTGTTGTGGGAATGACCTCGTGGCGCAACGGTAGCGCGTCTGACTCCAGATCAGAAGGTTGCGTGTTCAAATCACGTCGGGGTCACTGCTTATTGTCACGTTGAATGCCCGCTTTTACATATCATTCATAAAACACGTCGTTTTCAATGTCAAGGAAAACAACAAGGTCTCATCAGTTATACCAACGACTGGCTGCCACGAGACTCCATAAGTATGTCATAGTAGCAAACGGAACATTTTATTACATAATGTTGGGCCGTACATTATGTCTTTTTTCGTTTCATGCAGTTGTAGCATGTCAAGGCGAGTCAGCTGTTAAAAGACTCTTGTGAAGTTGCTATCGCCCCTGCATTCAGAAATTGTGCTGCTTTGAAAATACATTTTATTTATCAACCATTGACGCAACAAGCAGTGGGAATCTCTTGACAATGGCTGTCTTTGGAGATGTGCCAATGCTGTCTTTGATTGAACAGAGATGCACCTTGAAGTGAAGATCAAGCTGTTGGCTCTGCAGAGGTAACAGAAAGATCATCGCCCGACCAGGGACTTGAACCGCGGACCCTCAGATTAAAAGGCTCATGTTCTACCGACTGAGCTATCCAGGCTCTACAACCGGTCATTGACATAACGGCAACATGGGGAAGGAATCCCCTATTATCGCATGTTCTGAAACTGCATCTGTCGACACATCCTCTGGTCAGTTTGGTTTTAGGATGATTTTTTTGGTTTGAGATCCATGAACAGGTATTATCACTACTACATTATTTTTGACGATATATTCTGATCCAACTGTTTCCATGATCTTGCCCAGTAGGTGGCACTCAATGTTTTGTGTTCTCTGTATTTGCGTATATATAACAGAAAGGATGCTTTTATCACTCATTTTTTGTCATGTGTGTTTTTATAAGTAGTCTGTGTGACGCTGTGCACAATTTTTTTTCGTATCCTTTTCTTCTGGATCCCGTGGACAGTTTTTAACGAGTATGAGACAGCATTGTGGTTCAGTGGTAACGAGCTGGGCATGTAGCCTAGTGTTTCATGGTCTAAATGTAAGAAGAGACATTGCTGTTACCTTCGAGCATGGGCATTTAAACATATATATCGAAGTTGAATTTTGCACAACACAGTCACAGAGGGACTTTGGTACACTGACAAAATATTCACCTCCATCCTACTTTTAATTTTGGCATACTGATACCTCCTGATCCTGGACCTTGGCTTATTTGCTTCGATGAGCTCTGTTTAAACTCCCCTCACATGCAGCTTCAGCAGAAAGGTTCAGTGCCCACTGATACCAACTGACCTGCCCTTTCTCCCTCTGACCCCCGCCCCCCCACAATTGCTCACCCTTTCTCCTGCTCTCTCTCTGTGTCCTTGTGAGGATAATGATTGACTGAGTCTTCTTATCCCTCTGATCTGAGGGAAAAACAAAGCACAGCTAATACTTGCAGCGGGCGAAAGAGTTCTGCACTTCCCTCAGTCCCCATGGATGTCTGCGTTGCTTCCCTCATACTGTGCTCCTTGGTCCTCGCAGGTAAGCAGACCTTTTCATGTCCATGATGATAGTATTTTGCAACTGCATGTATTTGTAATTGTCATTGTGCGTTGCAGTTTTATGTAATTGTATTTGTCGTTCTTACTATATGTATTTACAAGTTACAAGCTCCTGCTGGGTCTTGTATCGAAATGAAAGTCCCTTGTGAGCTGGTCACAAGGACTCATGTCCCACATCACACTGTTCTTTTATTTAAGCAAATTATCTACCACATAAAGACAGCGTCACATAAAGTAACATGGAATGCCTAGGACCATGTCTTGAACAGATTGCCTAAATCAATCCAGTTTTGCCTCGAATGGATAAACTTTTGTTTTATTGTGCTGGAATTTGCTCTGGATAAGAGCGTCTGCTAAATGCATGTAATGTAATGTAATGTAATATAAACATGTTGTTGACCAGACAGCTGAGAGCTTGCAAAGGACTTTTTGACTGTGCAGAACCTAATGGGAAATTAGAGGACTAAGCATGTCCCTCAGAACATCTACTCATGGTTGGTTGTTTTCTTTAGAAATGTGGCATATGGTATAAACTCCTACTGAGACTGGACTATAACATCCTCTTCTCTGAGGGAGTCCTGTTGGAGGCATTTCAATTGAGAATGATAAAAACCAAGATGAATTACTGTAAAGGCAATAGCAGCTGGTGCTCAGTGACTGAGTGTTTGTGGTCGTACAGGACAGAAGCTGTACTCATTTCTTGATTTAAGGATACTCATGCAGATATTCACCTGGGGGGGATTACTTGCTGATCATCTTGAAGTTAATTTTCTTTTGCAAAATAAAGCTGGATACTAATTTGTATTGATCATGTAGTGATCTGTCATATTTGTTAGGCGCTGTGGCCTCACAGTTTTAGCATGCTGTTTACCTGTGAGTGACGTTTATTTGACTGTGAGAGGTGAGAGAGGGAGATGAACCTGGTTCTGTCCTGTAAGGTAGCAGGTCAGAGAAGCTTGATTCCAGGACCCCCCACTCCCCCACATACCCCCGCCCTGCTCCCTCCTTGACGTCATTGTCCATAGCTCACCAGCCTGCACCTCCAGTCACTCTTACAAGACTCTTACAAGATGAATTATGCCAAAACTGCTAATCATGTAATTTGTGTACAATGATTGTATTGTCTTTTACAATTGTTTTATTCGTGTATTTATTTATTTTGTAATTTTTTGGTTGCTGTTTTATACTACCACTTTTTTTGCACTTTTTTACTTGCTATCTGTTCACTGTGTCTTCTAATGTTCTGACAGTCTCCCTGAATATGGGTGTTTTAATTCTTAATTACATTAATTGATAGATAAAAAGCTACTGTAACCGTTAAACAATGTTGGCTTGTTCTGAAGACGTGGCAGGTTTTGTAACCGGAGTCACCCGTTTTGCTCCTGGTACCTGCAGCAGGGGCGCAGACGCCCGTGCTGTCCATCGAGCCCCGCAGCGCCACCGTCAGGCAGGGCGAGTCCGTCAGCTTCCGCTGCCGGGTCCAGAGCGGGGCGCAGCCCGTGCGGCTGGAGTGGAAGAGAACCAACAACCAACCGCTGCCAGGTGAGAACCCAACTGCGGCTCTCGCCGCCAACATCTCCGGCGTACAAGGGTCATTTTCCTGTTCTCTCATTTCATGATTTTTTTAAATTTAAATTAAAAAAAAAAAAAAGTATGCATAGTATTCTTCATTTCCATTATTACTTTACAACAATGAGCATTTCTAATGCACATTCCATATATCTTGTTTTTTTCATCATGCTTTCATCATTTGTTTTCATCCCTCGAGGAGGGAACATTTTTGTAATGATAATCATAGATTATGATATGTTCAACCTAATATTCATTTAAAAAATTGGGGGAGGTGGGGGATTTCCATGATTGAGGGTGGGGTTCACTTGTATCTGAGTGAAGTGGGAGCTGTTAGATATGAGTGAAATGGGATATTTTAACATTACATTACATTCATTTAGCAGACACTGATATCCAGAGCAACTTCCAGCACAAAAAGAGCAACAGTCTCAGACCAGACTAACATCACTTCCAGACCAGACACAGCCTAGAAACTAAGGGAAGCCAAGTACACACACTACCATGCATCACAGTCACTACATTACAGATTCCAAAGCACACCTGCGGTACTACTCGTGAAATAAACAAGTAATACAAGTAGCTGGTGTTAGGGGGCAGGGATTGAGGTGGTATTTCAGTGATACTCTGTGCAAGCGTTTAGTAAGGAAAGGGTTTGCTGGATACACTCAGAGGAGGTTGCTCAATGACACTGTGTGAGTGACATCGGGGTACATGTTTTCTGTGCATGAAGGTGTCACGGGGGTACCTTCTGCGTGAAACAGAGGTTCTGTTCTGCAGTCTATGAGTACGGTGGGGCTGACTGACATTCTCTGCACCGCAGACAATGTGAAAATCGGACCCGACGGGTCAGTCCTGACTGTCGCCAGCTCAAGGCCGGGAAACCAGGGAACCTACCGTTGCGTGGCCACCAACGCATTCGGGAAAGCTCACAGCTCCGCCTCCCTGACCGTCAAACGTGCGTACGGACACGTCCGCTCCGCCGGGGTGGAGGAGGAGGGGGGGTAGTGTTGACTTTGACTGGTTCACGTGTGACTGTGCCAGCACAGCAAAGTCCAAAATCCTACCTTTCAAGTCCGTCATCAGGACAGTACAGTTCCTTAGATTTCCATGATGTTTTCCAAAGACAGGGAAACAGGTGAAATTCTTATTTGAATGTTCAGCACCTTTTTTGCACCCTTTTACACCCGTTTTTTTTTAAATCAGATTCATAGTACAGGTGCACATCTTTATCCATTTATATGGGTGGGGCCTGTAATTAAGCAGTTCAGTTTAATCTTGCTTATGGTGAGTAATGCCATGCAAGGAATTAAACCTGCCACCTCCTGGTCATAGTACCAGTTCTTCAATCATGTAGGTGATCTTTTTCAACCAGCGGCTGTTTTACAGGGAAGGCCACTGATGGCCACAAACATTTCCTGGGGCCAAGGAATAATTTTCCCTGTTTTTGTTCCCCCCAAGTAGGCTAGGTTTTCTGTTTTTTTGATTCCCTCTGAAAAATGCACTTTGCAGAGCACTCCGTGACAATCTTGATCGTAAAACACGTCGGTATAACAGATTGATCGATGTTTGGTTGTACATTCGCTCCCCAGAGTCCCCCAAAATCGACATCACCCCCAGCAGCCCGGTGAAGGTTCGGGCTGGTGAACCAATCAAACTGGAGTGCCATGCAACAGGAAGGCCACGCCCATCGGTCACCTGGCACAGACAGGGTGCTGGGGAGACCGGCCAGAGCAGCTCCACAGAAGCCAAGGCTGTGGTGCAGGTGGCTAGTCTTATCGCTCGTTAAATGCACAAAAAACTAACCTTCTAAGCCACTGCTTCTAACACTGTTGTCTCCTCATGTGGCTTTTTTGCCTTGTGTTGTACGCTGCACTCACTTTGGATAAAATCATCTGCCAAAACCAACAAATGTAAATGTAATATAAATGTAAATCTGCACTTGTCCCAAATTCCTAATTTCACAATACAAAGACTGCACTTAGTTATGCCCCACAGTTACAATACAAACACTGTCCACATCAAGAATTCATCCAAAATTCATGAGATAGACGCAGTACTTATGTACTGTACTTATTTCTTGTGTCTCTTTCTTGCTTGACAAAAATATGATAAACTGAGGAAGACAATGAGGAAGAGGCAGGTCTATGGTATGAAGATAGTAGGCAGCCCCATACAAAACATAATATTTTAACAATAATATTTTGAGAATATGTATTTGAGAGAATGCATATTAAACTGAATTAATATGTTTAAAAAATGTAAATTATGTTGTGTATATTAATACATTTCTGCTTTGCATTAATATATTTTAAATGAATTTTCAACAGTTCTTGGGCTGAACAACATTTTTCTCAATATATTACAATATATTTCATTTCCATAAGGGGCAGGAGTGCTGTAGTCAGATTAGATAATGAACACCTCTTAAGGTGTAGTCAGAGATTGCAGGCAGCTGTGTTTTTGTAGTTGGAGATTAGAG